AAGTGCTGGGATTACAGGCGCACGCCACCACGCCCAGTCTCAATTGCCTGTCTCAGCGTGCGCCGGGGGTGGAGCCGGCGTGGCAGGCTGGAATCCTTTCATTCCTGCTGGGCTCCCCGGGTACTGGGTCATGGCATAACCCTGAGGGTTAGTTGGATGGAAGAAATATTTTCCTCTGCAATTGGAGCGGCCCTAAGCAGATCACTCTGGAGTCCAGCCTCAGTTTGCCCAACTGTACAATGTGTCAACGGTGTGGCTTCATGGAGTGGTTGCATGTACAAAGTAAGACCTCCCAAGAGCACAGTGTCTGCATAAAGAAGCCTCGGGTCACATCTGTGTGTCCTCAGGGGACATTGGTGTCCCTCAGGGATGACAATAATGCAAGCAGCCAGCACAGCTTTCCTCGTGGACAGCTGCTAGGGAGCAGGACAGGACTGCTCAGAAGCCAGGGGCTCTGGGCTCCTGTCTGTTGACCAAGACCTGGCCCTGGACTGGAGGCGAGGCAGGAACAATGTGCTCCACAAACCCTTGTGGACATCTCGAATGGGTTTCCACTGCTCCGTAACAAACAGATCTCTTAAATTCATAGTGAATCTGGCTCCCTCAACACATCTGCAGTGAAATGCTGGAAGCGTGTGCAGAGGCTGTCTGGAGATGGGCTTTTTTTTTTTTTTTTTTTTCCACGACTAAATCCATAGTTACCCTCCAAGTTGTAATCTTATCATATGTAACCAGTTCCACATAAACAGATCTAGGTATGTTTTCAGTAGTTTCAGCTGAAACCTGTTAAGAACAGATGTGCACTTGGTCCCCCGGCACAGATCCATTTAAATGGATTTTTCCATCTATAGCTTTTGCTTTCTCCCCTTCCTTGGAGAGGGGAAAGAACAAGAAAGTGGAACCATCCTTAAAGTGGCCTCTACAAGTCTCGGGGTCACTGCAACCCGTGTTTCCCACTGGCTGCCCAGCAGCACCGAGTCCTGTCGGGCTGTGAACCCTGAGCATGCACCCACCGCCAGCACCAGGGCTGGTTTTTCCCTGCTGCTGCAGAAATCAATAGCTCCAAGTGAGGCTTCAGCAATGATCTGCTTCTGTTGGGGAAAGGAAGGGAGAGGGTTAGAGATTTAACCCAGGTCTTCACCCTGAGCTATATCCCCAGTCCCCAGACCCTTCTAAATTTCTGACGTTGAGACTGAATCACCCAACATGGGCTCCAACTTGCAATTCTCCTGCCTCATCTTCCCAGGGTGCTGGGATTACAGCTGTGCACACCATCTTTGGCTTATGTATCTCTTTGACCCTTTGGCTCTTTAAGCCATCATTAAGAAAAGGGGAAAAAGAATATAAAAACTCTCAAGTCAACAACAACAAAACCAAGTGCCTTGTTAGAAAAAGGATAAAGGACCTAAATAGACATTTCTTCAAAGAGAACATACAGTGGCCAAAGCTGTTCGGCTTCATCAGTAACTCAGGAAATGCAAATACAAACCACAGGAGTCACATTGCTTCATACCCTTTGGACTGGGCAATAGAAAAAATAGAGAATAGTATCGGAGGGGATTGCAGAACACTTGTGGGGTGTCAGTGCAAATGCGAAACAGAGTAGTACAGCTGCTGTGGGAAACAGTGTGGCTGTTCCTCAGAAAATTAAAAATAGAGTTTTCATATGACCCACCAAGCCCAGTTCTGAGCATATCCAAAAGAACTGACAGCAGGAGCTCACAGGACACTTGCATGCCTGTGCTCCTAGTGTCATTATTCCCAGCCACCCAAAGGTGAGTGTGTCCCAGGAGTTCCTGGAAAGATGAGTAGATCAGCAGAATGTGGCACACACAAATAACAGAATATTATTCAACCTTAACAAGGAGGGGCCCTGTTGCACACTACAGCATGGACGATCTGGGAAGACGCTGTGCTAAGTGAAATAGGCCAGTCCCCAAAGGACAGATGCTGTGGGACCCCACTTACCTGGGCTGCTTAGGGTGGCCACCTTCATGGACAGACAGTGGGATGGTGGCTGCTGAGAGGCGAAGGGAGCGCGATTGCTTAGCGTGCATAATTTCAGCGTGGACGTGGGAAACAGTTCTGCAGGCTGGCTACTGCACCGTGAGTGTGTCTAACCCTCCTGAACCGTACCCTTAAAAGGGCTAACAAGAAAAACCAAGGTTGGGGGGGGGACACCGATCAGGACATCCACTAAGGGGCACGTGAGGGACTGGGAGAGATGTGCGTGCTTGGCAAGACATGGAGCTCATATTGGTGCAGTGGGGTAAGGAGGCTGTGCATGCTCAGGTTTGGGTTTCAGGTCTTTGCCCATTTTCAACCAGGGTCATTTGTCTTGTTGTTGGGTGCCCTAGGTGTCAGATAAGAAGTAGAACAGTGGTGCAAGGACTCTTCAGTGACAGCATCCTCACTGGTCATCATGACTCTGGTACAAAAGCCCTACCCCACTGGTGGGTTACCATCCGTTTCCCCGTGGCCAGCATGGAGGGAGAGGCACCGGTCACATATAGTGGTGTTTGGGTATGTCACATTGCTTGGGCATCCTCTGCCTTGCAGGAATCTGTCCTACTGGCTTTGTGCTAGCTCCTGGAGGGGTTGGAAAGACAGCTTGAAGGGGATGCGATGGCCAATGGAGTCAAGGCCCTCTGAAGGAAGTGCTGCTGCTGCAGCTGCAGTGGGTCACATCCACAGGGAGACCCTGAGTCACCACCACTTTGCTCCATTTGGTCATCTGGTAAAGGAGGGTAAGGGCAAGGTTGAGATTTACAATCTCTGATTCCAGGTCTTCTGGGGGGTTCCATCTTCCTGTGTTCTGTCCAGACTGGTGCAAAGGGAGTATGACTGTGTTTCTCAGTGTTAACAGGACAACAAAGTGGAGAATTACTGAGGTGCTTTGGGTTTTCCTGTTCCTTGGGGCCCTGAAGGGGCGAGGTCTGAGGCAGAGTCAGAGCCTCCTGCTGGGTTCTTTGGAGTGGTGATGACTTCCCGTCCCTAGTAGGAAGGGACCCCTTGGAAATGCTTGGGCTCAGCTGAGCAGGTGGCTTCCAGCACAGAGAGGAGTCCTATTCGTCATCATGAGGAGAAAAGAACAAAACCAAAGCATTCATTAACACTTCAGAGAGGATGAAAGGCCACACTGAGGGCCCAACTGCTTTCCCCACTGGCAGGCAAGAGTGCATGGAGAATGAAGTGAACCTAGCCTGGGAGAGAGGAGACGCTGCCTCCAAGGGCTTCTCTTGCTGGCTGAGGCCGTGGGGCTCCCTGCTCCCCTGCCCCGAGGAGAACTCGGATATGCTGAGGAGCACATTCTGGTGATTCATACCTGGTTTATGAAAAGATTGTCTTCAAGCTTTTAGATCTCTTCCCCATTTCTTCTGCCTATTTTCCTGTCTGCTTGCTTTCTTGTATAGTTTTCCAAAGTAAATATTCACAGGCCTTGGTTTCTACCAATGCTGGAGTTCACAGAAGAAAAAAAAAATCTAATAGGCTCAAAGCTCCTTTTTTAAAAAATTCATATGGCTTGTCCTGGTTTGGGGGCAGCATGTCTGAGCACAACACAGAAACTGCTGAAATGGGGACAGCAGCCCAGAACAGCCCAGAATCTGGGAGCTTATCGAGAAACCCGAACCTGCTGAGTAAGTCAGCCAGGTGTCTCCACTTGGCCTGGGAGGATTCCGGGCCAGCGCTGTGCTTCCCGAATGAAGAGCGCTGGGCAGAATGGCTGGGACTGGCCAGCCTGTCTTCACCTTCTCCACTTCTGTGGGGGCCCTCCATTGGCTGCCCACAACTCGCTAGGTTTTCATTATCTGTTCCACTCGCCCACCACTGAGTCCCCACAGAGGTGCTCCCCACGAATGACTGGCAGCTTTGTGACCTTTGTTTTCAGCCACAAATGAAAGGGGACTTAAAAGATGTACAGGCGTGTGTGTGTGTGTGTGTGTGTGTGTGTGTGTGTGTGTTTATGCTTAATGCACATGCTCCTCATGAAAAACAGGATAAATTACCAAGAATGGCAACGTAATGATTACAGAAAAGTATATGAGGCAGAACCCCATTAGCGAGCTGCGTTTTGGTCAAAACGAAGATACTGGCAGGCAGAATAACACGCCTTGTGCCGGAACGCATTCAGCTGTAGCAATGACTAATAATGTAGCAGAGGATTTGTTCACATTTTTCCCCTTTTGTGCCTATTTTCATAAGTTAATAACTCAAGCATGAAAATTGGTTCAGGCTGGAAACTAGCGGTAAGAGCAGGGCAAACGGTGTGGGAAACAACTTTTTGTTGTTGTTGTTACTTAATTTAGTTGGGCTGGTTTCAAGTTAAGAGGAGTAGAAATGTCAGTGTGGGTTTTCTCTAGCAACGTGTTTGTGGTAAGCCCAACAATGTTTGAGATTTTATTATAGGAGGCAACTGCTTGATGACTACAGAGAATAGTTTCTCTTCCTTCAGGTGTCTGTTCCTGTCTGGTACTGGCAGAGCTTATTGGGGACAAGGGATGAGACTGTATCAAAACCTTAGGATGCTATCATACTAGTCTCATTTGCTGTCAGCTGGAAAACTATTCTACCAGCAAACCAAACAGCCTGATCAGCAGACAGCTGCCTTAGACCAAAGGGGACGAGAGTGGGTGTGAACTCTGCCGGTTTTAGAGAATTCCTGGAGAAGCACACGGGACAGAAACAAGAGCAACCATCATAATGCCTCTCATTCCTGTAGGAATTGGGGTTCCTGATCCCTTCCTTCCCTGTCCCCAGAGCCAAAGTCAAGTGAGGTGGACCAGATTTCACAAAACTCCTTTCCTTTTTCTCTTCTTTTTGGAAGAAATCGGAAAGATACAGAAATGCTCAGGGGATCAACAGAAAAATGCAGAGAATGCTATAACAAATGCTCACAGACCCACAGCCCAGAACTAGGTGCTAATCTTTCATAATGGGCACTCAAACGTTTAAACTAACCGAAACGTTACTCATAAAGTCGTGCCTTCTTCATTTCACAGACCTCAACGTGGGGCGCAGGAGAGGAGAGGAGAGGAACTGGGGCGTCTGCAATCTCCTCCTCCTTCCCATCCTTCAGAAGATATTTCTGAGGACACCACCAGGCTGGTAAGACAAGCACTATTGTCCCTCTTCTCCCATGGGAGCTTGGGGTCCCCAGGGCATTTGTTTGAGGACCTGTGCTGGGCTCCGGGGACAGAGAAGAGGGTCCCAGTTCCAAGCAGCATTGGAGGGGACTCTGCCTGGACAACCCCACCTCCCCCCCTCCAAGCAGGTAGCACGCGGGACAGGCCAGGAAATGCTTAGGGTGACCCTTCCCAGAAATCAATATGCGCACTACACAGCTTCCATTTTAATTCATACGCCAATCATGAATCCTTGCGAAAGAAATCAAATATATTCTGCCCTTAATTTGCCTCCGGGTTGAAAACAATCGGATTTTCATTTTGATGAGAAAGTTGCTACATTTATAATATAATCTTTGATATAGCCTCCTGGCCCCCAAAGGCATCTCAATCTTTTGAGAGTGAACTGTGAGAAGGGACCAGAGCGTCTTCTGTGCGTCCGGAGCCTCTAAGTCCACCCCTGGCGGAGGAGCGGTTAGATCCCCGCTGGCGCTGCACGCAGCAGGCGAACCGCGCAGGTCCGCAGCTGGGCTCTCCGCAAACCCGCAGCTCTGCAGGCGCGCGCCGCGCTGGGGCTGCTGGAGTGACAGCTCGCTTAGAAACCAGCTACGGTTTTACAGGGGTAAAAATCGGCGTGCGTTTCCTGTGTCGATTGATTTTGGCTCCAGAGAGAGCTCGCTGGTCATTTCGGAGCGACTGAACCCCCTCGCTTCTATCAGCTCCCTCGGTTGTTTTAGGAAAAGGGAATTGTTTGAGGAGAGGTAAAAGGCAGCCTTTTCCGTTCCAAAGCAAAGCCCAGCTGGCGGCCTGGCTGTGTCAGGAGCCGCGGCTGGCGCGGGCGCTCGCAGCAGCTCAGCTTCTCCGCAGCACGGCGAGGCTGCGCGCACCTGGCCCGGGCAGCTCCGGCTGCGCCCAACCCCCAGCCCGGAGGCTGCGCACCGCGGCTCAGCGGCGGGGCCAGAAGCCCAAACAGGAGGAGCCGGCAGGTGCAGGCTGGAACCGATCGGTGAAAACCCCGCCGGCGCTCCCAGACCCGGCAGCGCACAGCCCCGCGCGCTCTGGGTCTCCCAGGCCGGTGGTGCGCGCATGGCGGAGCACAGCGCTTCTTCCTAGTTTCCTCCCCTCCGAGGCCCCGCGGAGAATTTCCAAAGCTAGTTTCCAGCTTTCAAAGACAAAACCACAGGGTTCCTGGCTCGGCCTCTTCCTTCATCAGCTTCACCAGAGCCTTACTGGTCTCATCCGGCTGCTACTTCTCCTAAGCAGAAACAGACGAAAACACTCACAGTCCCACAGGGAAACGCACCGAATCTTGTTCAAGCCTCTGAAACCCCTCTAGAGTGGACTGCTGAGAGACCCCGTGCCTCCGGCTTTGGCGCTCTCCTTGGGGCAAATGCAAGGAAGGCTGGGCAGCTGTAGAGCATGTAAGGGGCCGGGGCCTCCTAGAAAGCACCAGAAAGACTGTTTCTGCGCTGGCCGCACCCAGATGGCTTGAAGCTAAGCCCACAGCTCATTGTGGCTGGAAAGAGATCCTGGAAAGAAATTAAGACAGTGATCCCTTTGGTGCGGCTTCGAAAGACTTGGTGAACAGCCCCAGCATTTCTAAAACCTGCATGCAGGAGAGATTCACTGATGATGACCACTGGGCCTTTTTCTTGTGATCAAATAGCTTGTGGTGGTATATCATTGGGACTTTAAGGTAGGCCCCCACTAAGGGTGATCTGTAGCTGTCCATTCCCTTGCTTGTCACCCCTGATCTTCCCCTGTGGAAAGGTCTGCTTAGGTATTTTGGCCAGAGCCAGCTGAGGCCGCTCAGAGTCCTGTTTCTTCCATCCCTGGGCCATCTGAGAAGCATTTCACACTCATGTCTCTTGGTCTGAATGGTGTGTGTGTCACATAGTACCTGGGATTGGTTTTGTAATCCCCTGTCAACTTTTATTCTGTCCACTCAGAGGTAATGTAGAAAATTAGTTTCCAGGGAAAGTTGGGTATAGTGCTTTTACATTTGTGTGAAGTATCCTCTTCCATGGAAGATATTTGATATAAAGGACAGCAGACAGTAAATTCAAATCTTGCACTTCCACAATAAAATTCAAAAGTTAAAAAATGTTGCCCATTTTTAAATTGGGTTGTTTAGACCCAGTCCTAGCCCAGACCCAGTGAGTGTGTGGGAGAGCTTCCGGCTACCCAGCACCAGCAGGACCTACTGGTCCCAGCCCAGGTGCAGCAAGGGTGACACCCTCTTTCACCCTCTTGGGATGCCCCCCATCACTCCTTAGTACCCCCACATACCCCGCCCACAGAGTAGGAATTTCTGTCGCATTCTGGGAACCCCCAGATTCAGTCCTAGTCCAGGCCCGGTGAGTGTGTGGGAGAGCTGCCTCTCTCCCCTACTCCACCTTGTCCCCTCCAGACTCAGCGCAATCGCTGCAGAGAGTGTAGGGGACAGAACCACCTAGTTAGTCCAGGAGCAGAACATCTTGCCAGAGGGACACAACAGGTTCACCCCAAGGGCAGCAACAGGAAGGAACTGAGCACAGCAGCCAGACCCAAGCCAGGCATAGCTGGATAAATCCAAATTTGTAGATCTACACCTGAACTTCAGTAGGTGCTAAGGTTATAACTGCAAGAAAGCTCTACAACAAAGATCAGAAGACAGTGCAACACAAAATGACAATGAGAAGGAGCAAAATGCAATCTCAGAACCCAAGCTCACCCATAACAAGTGCAGAGGACACTAAC